GTGTGTGTGTGTGTGTGTGTGTGTGTGTGTGTGTGTGTGTGTGTGCCAATTTAAAGTCCTCCTGCTGGGCTGTTTTTGCCTCAAAACCTTCGTTGGGATCTTGCAGATTTTTCCAATTAAAAGCCAACAAAGTGCTGCACACCCACAGAGTCGTAGCTTTCTATTTTATTCAACAAAATGAAAAAATAAAAAAAAGAAACACAGACCTAACACAGGCTGTCATTGTGTTTTAAATCCATTTGGAGGGAATAGTGCTGCATATCGATCCAATTTTTTTTCTTATTTTTTCCCCCCAGAGAAACAGAGCCTCTGCAGCACAGACTCAATTAGAAGGAGGCTGCAGAGTGCACAGAGCTGATTTACACAACAGGCCGGGCTCTTTTTATAGCCACAAAGGGGGAAAGAAGAGGCTGGAAGAGTAATAGGAGTGCTGTGGAAAACCCCCAGCGGCAAGGTCTCTGCGCACACTGAACACACTGCAGCTCTGGCCAAATGAATTTATGGCTGCAGAACTCATTAGTTGCGCAATAAAAGTTTTACGATTTCTTTCCACGCAGCAGCAGCAGCAGCAGCAGCAGCAGTGAGCTGCTCGAATTGAATCGAACGCTTAAGGCCAGAAAAGGTGTGTGTTTTGCAAAAAGAAATGAAAAATCCTGTGGTTTTTGCAACATACCTGATGCCCTCATCCAGGGGTACATGCGGTGCTGTTTGTCCGGCGGAGAGGTGAGGGGTCCCGGCCCTGGATGACAGCAGCTGCCCTGCTCAAACGGGCTGCAGAGCTGTGTGTGTGTGTCCTGTCCCCGGCCATAGCCTGGGGTAAACACGGGGCGGCTCTGGGTTGCGTTATTGACGTCGTAAACTCCAGAGAGACACGGCGCGAAGGCGATGGCAGCGGCCGCGTTCCGAGAGGAGCCCTGCTCGTCTCTGCTGGGTCCAATCCTGCAGGAAGCTCGCTCTGCGCTCGGGAACAGAGAACAACCCGCTGCGGGTTTGTAAAGAAGACTATCCACATAATAAGAACTCATATTTTTTTCTCTCTCTCTCTCTGATTTGTTGGCCAAGAATCCTCAGTGTCGTTTTTACGAGCTGCTGTGATATATGACAGCAATACACCCTAGATTTACACCAAACCCCATTTTTACTCTGGACCGAAGAACTCAGACACGTGACTCCGGCCTGGTCGCTCTCGACCAATCAGAGGAGGCTCGGATTTCATTATGGCTCATAGGACTGCAGGATGGGATTAACACCTCACACACGTAAACACGTGCAGTCACATAAACACGCGCGAGAGAAAGTCTCGCWGGAGATCTGAAGATACGTTCAGAGAGCGGTTTTGTGTCGCTTTTCTCACTGCCTCTGCGCAAAAATCCCCCAATAATCTTAAGAAAGACATATCTTCAGCTTTGTCAAATCATCTGTTAGTCAAACACTTACTATTTATAATAGTGTTTATATAGTAATAAATAACACATATTAGTTGAATTCGTTATATAGATATTATTATTTCAAGTAAAACCATCACTCCAGAGGGGGAAAACATTTTGTATTAAAAATATCACTTATTGTGAAGTAAAATATTAAAACACATAGTTTGTTAATAACCTAATATTAACACCATGTAAAGCCAAATGTATATAAATGTCTAGATTTGTATTTTAAATGCAAAACACTAACACATATGTGT